AGAACGTCTAAATCTGACTTCGTATGAGGAAGTTATGATTTTTCGAAGTTTCGACTTAGCGGTATGTAGCCCGAATACTCGAAATAGAGATCGAGTGATATTTAGCCAAAACTTTCTAAATGATAATTGAAGATCTCATCGATAGTAGTCCAACCATAAAAAGACAGACGAAAACGGAGTCCAGATGAAGGAGTTATGAATTTCGAACGGAGTTTTCCTGTCCCGGCCTACTAAAAATAATATATTAAAATTTAAGTGAAAATTAGCCAACGGAGTCTAAACGAGAGTTGTAGATCATGATCTCACCTACGCGTCGATATAAAGAACGTCGAAAACGGAGTTCGTATGCGAAAGTTATGAATTTCTGAAATTCGGGGCGCGAAACCCCAAAACTGTCAGAGACCACGACGTGGAAACAGTGGCCACGACCTGGCATGGCTTCTGACGCCTTCTGGAGCCTGACAGAGCAAGTGGACGATGACGCATGCAATGACGTTCAAGCCCACGACGTGGAAACACTGTCCACGACGTGGAAAATGAAAATTTTGCCCTATAAATAGATTTGAAGGGGCAGCCGGCCAAGGTTGCTAATTCACCCTTCTCTCACCAATATTACCTCGATTTACGTGCAAAGAAATATCCGGAAACCCCAGTATCATCCCGAGACCCGAAGCAAGTCCCGAACCCCCGAAGATCCCGAGAAGTGCAATTCCCGAGCCGAAGCTCTGCCAGCGAGAAGCCAATTTTTGTGAAGATCTTCCAGATCTACCGAAGAATACTACTTCTACAAGCCGTAGTGCTGTCCGATCATCTTCTGATCAAGTGAGTGTATAGTCTCTTTCATAAACACGATTTTAATACAAGTATTGTTTGAATGTATTAAGTATATGTTTTGAGTGAGTGTATATTCCCTTTCTTCTAACACATAGATATGAAGTATCTACTTTAGAATATGTGTTACGTGTGTATAAATATACGTGTATATATATATATATATATATATATATATATATATATATATATATATATATATATATATATATATATATATGTTATCTGTTTATTTGGGATGAGTATTGAATGAGTATCTTATCAGTTTTTAAGTTGCATATGAATGCATACGTATGCTGTTATCTACAAAAATGTTGGGTAGAACTTGGGTAGATAGTTGATGTGTGATAAACTGATGAGAGGCCTCGATGTGATTGTGATCTAGTCATTCAGCAGAATATGGATGACGACCACGGATTCTTTCTAGACTATCATGTGGAACGCTAGCAGGCTCATAACCTGTAGGTGTTGGTGAACTTGGGTGTTCATTTGTTGTATTCTATCCCCCCTCATGGTTGCCTTACGACATTCATTGTTGAGGAAACCCCTTTGCAGTATTGTCCGTCCCGATGAAAATCCTAGATTAGGTCTCTTCTAATAGTTGTTGTTTTAGGGACGTAAAGTGAGGATAACGGGAATGGGTAATCGGGTTATTGTTGGTTGGTGAAATTAAATATAATTATTTATTGTGGGTTGAAAACCCTATATGCTCACCAGGCTCCCAAGCCTGACCCACTCAGTTTCTTTGTATTACAGGTAGTGGCGCGAGAGCATAAGTTGGAGAACTTGTGAAGATGTTTTTGTTTATAGACCAATAGTTATATATAACTGTGTAAGGTCTATGTTTTATTGTTTATGCTTTTATGTCTGTATTGGAACATGACATCCCGAGTTTTGATATATAATGAAAATACATTTCTTTAAGAAATGCTTTGATAAACCTTATTTTATCATGTAATATTTTTGGGGACAAATTTCGCAACTCTTTTAAATCAATGGATTTACTCTGAAATTATTTTAAAAGCATAAATGAAACCGGTCTTTTCTGGCCGTGATTTTGGGGATGTCACAGTTGAGGGGTGAAGATGTCGAACATAGGGCGGCAGTGGGAGCGCCGGCAAAGATGGACCTGCATGTTGTTGATGATCTAGTGGAGAGGATATGAAAGATCGCTAGGGTCTCTTTTCCGGGCTGTAGTAGCGGCGGCCGGTATCCCTTTTCTAGGTTGTAGCAACGACAACAGAGGGGTGGTGATAACAGATGGTCGTCGGCCATTGGAAAGAACAAGAAAACATCATCGATCTGGATTTGCAAGGGGAAGAGATACAAAGATACATGAGGTGGAAAATGAGAAGGAGACGAAAAAGGTGAAAGATGAGGGTTGTGGGGTGGGATGACGTTGGGTTTTGTTTATTTAATAATATAAATAAATAAAAAACAATAAATTTAATTAGCAAAAAATAACGAGGGCATAATAGTCTTTTTAGGTTAGATAGGGACCAACCGGGAAACAAAAACAAACAGTAGGGACGGTCCGAGTTAGAAAAATAAGTTAGGGACCAAGCACGCAAATCACCCCAAACCATAGGGACCATTCGTGTAATTTGTCCAAAACAAAATAAACTAAAAACAACTTAATCGACATTCTATTTGAATTTTTAAATGATTATTGTGTAATTTTGATTTTATATGATAATTTGTATGTTTTTATAATTATTCCGCAACTTCATCTATGATAGTATAGAGCAAGATAATATTATCATTTTTTTTATATAATTCAGCACACAGTCAATGAAAATGTATAATCGATTTTCTTTACCAATAAAACTTTCCCCCGCCCAACCAGAAATTAGTACAACGGATACGTTTTTCTAAAGCGAAGCGGTATGGGACCTTCATAGATTTTGGGAAAATGTTAGGGTGGCAAGTGTAGAAGAAAACGGACAACAGAAAAGCATGGAGTACCAAAATCCTCCGATGATCTGAGAACCATCCCTCCTCGCCCTCACATTCTTGATCCACCCCTTGGGGTTTCCACCAGATTTTCAATTGGTATGTTTGTTTATTCATAAGTAGTATACATCTTTTTATAATTCATGAAATTAAGAAGCTACATTTGAACGACTTACGTTCAATTCGTGAGTTTCAACTTAGGGTTTTTTATGCGTCTCTATTTCTGTTTTAAACTAATGGAATTTGGAATCGGCATGGAATTTAATCGTTTATTGCATATGATTGAGCATGTGATTTGTTGATTTCGTTTCTGTGGCTGATGAGTTTCGTTACGGAGCTGTTAGATCAACTTACTTAAGGCACCTATGTGAATAGGACTAGGGGTTATGTATGCATTGCAAAAGGATTTTACTTTTATAAACTATTGAATGGAACAGGTTTATGTTTCATGATCACATTAGTATACAGCTTTAATGGTTGCTTTAGGATATCAGAACTTGAGATCATTCACTTGCATTTCATTATCTGAATAGCTTGTAAGCTTACTTTTCAATTAGTGGTTTCTATAAATAGCAAAAAGATCAGCCAATGGAGAAAGAAACAACTTCTAAGCTATTCGTTAATGATGGTTCATTTATGGAAAGGTTCAAACAACTTCAGAAAGAAAAGGGAAAGGGTGATAAAGCTCTAGCAGAATCTGTGAACTTCTAAGCTATTTATTAATGATGGTTCATTTGCAGATTCCTGTTTGATGAAAGTTGTGCTGATTACAAATATTATGAATACCTACTTATTGAAGAGGAAAAAGCTCTAGCAGAATCTGTGGACTCCTAAATACAACATTCTGGTTTGTTTCATTGTTTGCATTGAATCTATGACAAAACAGATTGTACTGTGTATAGTTCTGTCATTGAAAATAACAGTGTATAGTTCTGTTATGCCATGTCATGTTATATGTCTTGTGTAACAAACACAGTTTGAAGAAAGTTTTATTGAGTAGATAGATGAATGTGATGTGATATTTTACTAATCTTGATGGTGATTTTTTTTTGGTAGGGTAATCCCCGGAAGGCGTATTATTGATTGATACCAAAGGATTTAAGTGCTTTTAAAAAAATGCATCCCGAAAGAAAAAAGAAATGGGGTTTGTTTATTATTTCTTTTGAATAAATTTGATGTGTGACAAAATAGGAACATGGTGTGTTTTGTTTTTCTTGATAATGTGTGTTTTGTTGGTATTCGACTTATGGTTCGGATGAAGCTTGAACACTGAACGCTTTCTTTCTTCATTGGTTTTTGAATCCTACTTGAGATTTGTCTCTGTTTGTTTATGTTTGTTGTTTTGGTTGATGTTTTAATTTTTATTACCATCGATACCGGAGTAATAACAAAATGAACAAGTTGAATTTAATTTGGACAAATAAGTATGAATTGTTGTCCAAAAATAAAGTCATACAAACAAATTTTAATAACTATATCGATTTCTTATCCCACAACAATGTTTGATGTTTAATTAGATTTGAGGGTGAATAGAATCATACTTAAGAGTTGAGATAAAGCATGTATGCACACATTTGGATTGTTTTTCCCTCAAAGTCAATGAAAAAGAATAACAAGGAAGAATTAGTTAGCCCCAAAAATTAAGAGTTAAGATAGCCAACAATCATGCAATGGGACAAAAGACAAAACTCTAAACAAGTCAAGCTACCTACCATTCTTCCATTGGCTTTTCATAGGTTATCTAACCTTCTCCCTAGTGAAACAAGATCTTGTCATCTTGTGGCCCTCAATTCCCTACCAAATCGTACAATTTAATCCATTTTCACACAAAACAGTTATATTGTTCTTCAATGGCTAACTTGAACATGAACATCCTATTGATAGCCATTTTTATATTTTCTTCAATTGCTAACTTGAGCATTCTAGTGATAGCAATTTTTTATTCTAGAGGTACATATACCTTATATGTATCTTTCTATCTAAAATAATAAAATTGGTGTTAGAAAACTTTGATCATGGTTGCTTTCGTTCTATATGCAAAATTGTCTCGGCTTTGACGATGGAAGATAAGAGGAAGACAATAAGAAGGAAGGAATGTTGCATGGTCTAGAGCTTGCAAATTAACTACTTGCTAAGTCTTCAGACCAGGCTTCATTCCTTTCAACTTTTGATTTCCTGTTATGAGAAAAGTGGAGATCCTATATGAGATTTCTTGAATGCTTCTATCTTTAACTTGTAAGTTCTTGTTAATTTACTAGCCTTATATTTAGCAAGAAAATCTTGATTTGATTTTTTTTTTTGTTAACAACAAACACAGACACACTCTTCATACCCTACTCTTTAACTACTCTTTTTGTCTCCAACAAGACTTAAACCTTCAACATATGGTTGAGGGACATACTTCCACCGACACCTGATATCATCGTTGGGCTACAAGCCCTTTTGTATATCTTGATTTAGTAATTCCGGTTACAACCAGGAAACAGATATGAAGGGGAAATTGTTGTTTTAATGAACTTAACGACGAGTCATTAAGTTTGATGATACCGAGACAAACAAGATGACAAATTCTAATTTTAAGGATATATAATTTTAAGGTAAGAAGTTTATATATATATATATATATATATATATATATATATATATATATATATATAAACTTCTTACCTTCCTAACAAAAATTTCCTTCTTATTTGATCTTGACTCTCTCTCTCTCTCTCTCTCTATATATATATATATATATATATATATATATATATATATATATATATATATATATATATATATATATATAGAGAGAGAGAGAGAGAGAGAGAGAGAGAGAGATTCAATAAAGAACTAAATTCCATGAGGGAAGTAGAGATTTTTTTTTCTTTTTGTATTTTTCAACAAAAACACTATTTCAGACATATACATGTAGCATTGCATCGTTCCAAAAAAAACGCCCAAAAAGAAACGAACAAAAACTATGTGAAGATACATCGTCCACACAATACATGTGCATCTACGTCGTTCAACCCTACACATGTATGTGCGTATGAATCATACTCATACGCACATAGCTTTTTTGTGCATTATTTTGAACGATGTATCTAATGGTTAGGTGCATATGTCATACATGGTGTTTTGATTAATTGTCCTTAAAATTAGAATTTATCATTTGTTTGTCTTGATATCATAAAACTTAATGACTCAACCGTTAAGTTCACTAAAATAACAATTTTACACTCATATTTATTTCCATCCCGCAACTGAGTTAGAAATGTGAAGTATGTACCAAATCAAAGAGTTTTCTCACCAAAGAAGCTGGAAGTTACAATTTTAATTTGTGTAGAATTGTTCGTCAAAAATAATTGTAAACTTTTGAAATGTATAAAATGATAAAATATAAAACCTCAAAGTTAAAAACTCTCAAAAGCTATTTCATGTAATTTTATTACGATTTTTTTGTTTAAATTGAAAGTTTTAAGTCGGTAATGGCAAAATAAAGTTTTTTTCTTTATTTCAAATTTGTTTTTATAAACTAAAAGTCAAAAACTCATAACTTTACAAAGCCCATTACCGAACATACGTTTAAAATAAATAACGTTATTTTACATAGAAAATTGATTCCATGTTTTTTGCTCTAATTTTCTTGGTCCATTGAGAAATCCTGCCTCTTAACTACGTCTCCAAAATTATCTCCATTTTTTTGAATCATTAATTAACTAAATTTTAAATCAATTAATTATTTGATGTATTATTTTATCTTCTCTCTGAACACTCGTTTGTGCGGAGATTTATGTGCATGTTTCATGTCTCCCTCGTTTCTTGTACCTCAAGAAATATCACCCCTAAAACGTTTTCAATCATCTTCTTGCAAAATATAACTTCAATTATACATACGATATGTGTCTTCAAGCTCTATAACTCTTTTAAAGGCTTTGAAAAATTGGAACGCCTCGTCTTTTTATCAATTCGAATGATAAAGACAGAAGATCAACCGAAAATATTTTTTGATCAAGAGGAGCATTAATCTTTCCAAATATCTCAAGGGTTTCCTGATAAAGCTTTTGGTGCTTCATGTGTTTAAGCATCATAATTTGATTTGTGATATTCAGATCAAGAAAAATGAGATTTGAAGATAATTAACCCACATGATAAAAAATGCATCCTCATGTAACATCATCCATGTTTTTTTCGCAAGGCGAAGAAGCTACATCATCATCAAAAACCGCACAATGCACGGTGTCATGCATGTATCAAGCGCACATTGGCGGCTTTTGGCGGACGGTGACGGCCCATTGGACCAAAAACATCATGCACCACTCATTAAACATCTTGGTAGACAGCGTGGAATCTCCCGATCGCCGCCATCACTGCAAGGTAGACCTCAAGCCATGGCATTTTTGGGGCAAAAAGAGTTACAAGACCTTCGAGGTTGATAGTCTTCAAATTGATGTTTATTGGGACTTTCAGTCAGCCAGGTTTTCTGGCTCACCGGAGCCATCCTCAGATTTCTACGTCGCATTAATTTGCGATGAAGAAGTTGTGTTGTTGATTGGTGACTTGGAGAAGAAGGTATACAAGAGAACAAAATCACGGCCAGGGGTGGATACAATCTTGTTCTTCAAGAAAGAGCATGTTTTTGGAAAGAAAAGCTTTACAACAAAAGCAAGATTTTATAAAGAAAGAAAAGATTACGAAATTTTGGTGGAAAGTTCTACTTCTTCAGGGTCTAAAGACCCTGAAATGTGGATCAGTATCGATGGGGTCGTACTGATCCATATAAGAAACTTGCAGTGGAAGTTTCGTGGGAATGAAACCGTTTTGGTGAACAAGCAACCGATTGAGGTGTTGTGGGACGTGCATGCATGGCTGTTTTTGAACCCTGGTTCGAACCATGGGTCATTTATTTTCAAACCTGGTCAACCTAACTCAGAAAGTGATAAAGAGGATGATAGCCAAGATGGGACCGAAGAGGGTGATAACAATAGTGTAAACAAGGATTATTCTAATTCACCACAATGCTGCGTTTTTCTTTATGCATGGAAGATAGAGTAAGCAATGTACATATACATACACTAGTCGATACACATATACATATAGATACATATATATCTGTGCTTCTCTCTCTCCTGTTTTAAAAAGATATTGTTGTACAAAAGTTTTTAACACTTGCAAATAGCTCCTTATAAAGCAGCAAATCTAGTTAAATCTAGTTTAAAAAAATGGTATGTTGCATGCGTGGCAGAATGCATAATTGATTTTCATGGTTAAATGATATGTTCATTTATGGAAATAATTGAAACAAATAAGAATTACTGATTTTCCTAAACTATATACATTCACAAAATGTTAAACAATAACATGGTAGGAGAAGTTAAGATCTTGTGCCTATCAAAGAAAAGCTCACATTTTCTCCCCGGTATCAATAATCAATGTGGTCATCACTTGCAAGCTTTGTCATCAGGGACTGGATCGCCGATCAATCGACTGTCAATCGTCATCTTTTAAATCAACTATTTCCTTCTTCTCTAATTTTCGTCTAGAGAGTCCTCATCATCAACAACAACATTAGCAGTCTAGAGAGTCCTCATCATCAACAACAACATTAGCAAAGTGCTGTGACAAAGGAAGCAAAATCACCGATGTGTATATATGTTTGTGTAAGAAAGTGAAAAGAAACAAAAAAGAATAAAAGAATAAAATAGATTCTTAATGTGTTTATGCGAAGAGAAATAGAGGAAAAGGCAAAAAAGAACTACATAAAATTTTATGTATTGTACGTTTAAACTAAGGGCATCCACAATGCATTGAATTCATTAGAGTTTAATGGATTGATACATCATCGTTCTACTCTCCATACAACTCTACCAAAGTTTTCCTAGAATGCATTAAACTCTACAAAGTTCAACGAAACATATTTATAAAATCTAATTTAAGATATACTATTTAATAATTAAAAAGTTTTCTTTTTCTCGTTGACGAGTTCAATGACCATTGAACTTCATATTCATTGAATGCCAACATGACATCTCACAATAATAGAGTTTAATCCACTCAATGTCAATTAAACATGTCAGATGATTCAACTCTCCAATTTAACTATCCATTATGTGAAGCTCTAAATGGGTTAAAAATCATTTCCCCCATGTTTACAGTAATAGTCCCTACACCTTAGTCTTATTGACACTTTTAATCCTAAACTTATTTTAATGTCATATTTTATTACAATCTCCACCTTGGTATTCAAAGTAAGTTGCATTTATTATATCCTTCAAAGAATCCTTGTTTAAGGTTGTTTGCCAAACATGGCCTTAGTAGTCTTTTAGCATATGGGAACCGGCAAGTTAAGAGTTTCTTCATATAAGGGAAACTACAATCGAAAAAAAAAAAAACTCTCAATTCTCACCTTATTATTGTTAAGCCTCTAACACAAATCATTTGACATATCTAACATGTCAACTAATTTACGCCATGAAGGATAAATCTTTATAGTTCATAGTAGTATAAGGGTAGACTTTAACCTTGTATTTAATAGCCCCATGATGTATTCATCTTATGTCATCACATGAGAGGTATTTGTTGAACGCCAATAATCAAGTAATGTGTTCGGGGTTGATTCTTATACCACCATTATAGTATTTTACTCCATAATTGTTGGCATAGAGACAAGTAATAATAGTAGAGTGCATCAAATTCGAATCAGATTGAATTCGAAAACCATAAAATGATGGAATTAAACGTGTTCAATTTCAAATACACATTTAATGTCCAAATTAATATACTTAGATGCACTGTCCTCGCAAAAGGTTGTTTACGTTATATAGAAAATGTGGATATTTATATTGACAGTGTTTGGATATCCATATGTGTGAAACTATTTAATGGAAGGTTGCTGCATTTTTAGAATTTTTTTTATTAATAGATTATACTAAAGGCTCAACCATATATTATTATAATTTATAAGAGTGAAAACTATTTTGCATTTCAATGTCGAATTCAAATTATGTAGAATGTATAAAAAAAAAATAAAAAAAATAAAAAAAATAAAAAAACTATTATATTATAATTTATAAAGGCTCAACCATATTATATTATAATTTATAAGAGTGAAAACTATTTTGCATTTCAATGTCGAATTCAAATTATGTAGAATGTAAAAAAAAAAATTATCTTCAACTCTAATAAATAATTTTTTTATCACTTGTCATACTCTCATTCATTTTGTCACATGTCATTTTATGGTTTTTTTCTTCATTTTATTAAATTTCACGTAGTATTTAAATATAATGATTGTAATAAATGTAATACTAAATAAATATCAATTTAATTAATGCAACTTTCCTTTTAATTTTAAAATCCCTAAATTGAAGCCTAATTATTTTCTTTGTTTATTTATTTAAATTATTTGTTTAATTTTAAAAAAGAAATGAGGAATTCAATTTCAATAATTCAATATTTTTTTCATTTTCGTTATAAATTCAAACTTTCTAATTGTTAAGATCTTCATATTTTTTTTTAATAAATACGTATAGTACACGAGTCTCGTAAAATAATAAATGAAAATGAGATTATATAATACATTGAATTTAACATTCTAGATATTGCATCGGTTATGCCATAAAATAAAATAAATTAAAAAAATGTTTTCTTTTCGACAAAACTACAAAAACGGTCCATATGGTTAGTTGAAAATTGTTGCAAAAGGTTTGAAGTAACATCAATAGTCCAAACTTTTCTTTTTGTTGCGAATTTGGTCCAACTTGTTTTGAACTTTTTTATAATGACGATTTTTTCTTTATTTTTTTCTTTTTCGTTTTTTTATTAATTTTCTGATTAAAATAAATAAAAAAACAAAAGAGATGGTCTTTATCGGAAGGCACGACGGTGCTGAAAACCCTTCGTATCTGACTAGATCTAGCCCTAACTGTGGAGACTTTGATGTTGGAATAGAATCGATTTCTGGAATGTATGTGTGTATCGATTTATGGAGACCTTGTTAAATCTCGGTTTGTTACTTTGTGTGTTAGGTTTGATCTTCATATGTTCTAAAGAAACATGGATTGGTTGTAATATGATGTTTCTTTTATTGGATTTCTAGATTTTGTGTTAAATCTTCATGAGATAGATCAATGGTGGAAAATTAATTTGATGCTTATGAATGTATGTTGAATCTGGTCCAAATCTTCATCTGGTTTCGGATCTTCATAATGTTCATCTTAATATTTGTGTGTATGAATAAGGAAGCGAGAGATGGTGAGTGTTTACAAATATGACACTTCTTGAGTTTGAGTTGTATATCCGGATTTTTTTTAGTTAATCTGATGGTGGCGTTGGTGTTGGTGATGGCGGAGTTAACCAGTGGTGATGGCGGAGTTAACCGGTGGTGGTGTTGACCGGTGGAGGTGGTGTTTACCGGAGGGAAAGAAGGTGAAGAATTGGAAAATGTGGTCTAGTATGAGTGAATAGAAGGGGAAGGGGTTAGGGTGGGTTTATTTTTCTTTTTATTTTTTCTAATTGTTGTATTAAAAAAACAAAGAAAACAAAAACAAAAATAAAGATAAATTCGTCATTTAAAAAAATATCAAAACAAATTGGATCAAACTCGAAACAAAATTAAAATTTTTGACCGGTGAAGCTAATACAAACCTTTTTAAAACAAAATGACAATTTTGGAGATACCATATGGACTATTTTTAAAGATTTGTTTTTTTTTAATTAATTTTATTTTATGTTGATTCTCCTTCCCCTCCAACCGTCCAACGAACATATTTTATCCGTTTGTTTAAAACAATAGGAAGCAAAAGATGGCAGCTTCAATTCATCACTCAATTTGGTCTCTCCGGCCATCTTCAACTCAACGCAGTATATCTCTAACTTCAAACTTGTTAATTTTGTTTGAAACTTAAGATCTCTATTAGTTTCCACTGATATTTTCAACATTTCAGGTTGTTGTAGTTCGAAGAAATTAATTTCAACAACTGGGTGCTGGAACAACATCGTATTCAAATCAAATTCAAAAGGCGGAATGCAATCTAAGAGGAGTAAGTAATTGTGAACCCTTAGCTGATATCAAATTCATCTTGCTACATAACTGAAGCCCAGGGTTTCAACATTCGAATCTTTCTTGTATTTTATTCCCAATAATTTAGGTGTATATATTCCGAAAAAATCGATTTTAATGTTGCAGATAAATCCGAAATGAGACCTAAGAGGAGTAACGGTAAAGAAAATTCCAGCACTGATGTTGAAATTGGGGAAAGACTGTATTTGGGGATGGATTTTGGTACATCTGGAGCGAGGTATGCAATTATCGACAAGGAAGGGATCATACATTCGGAAGGAAAAAAGGATTATCCTCTATTTTTAGTAAGATTTCTATCATTTTCTTTCTTCTATGAAATAAATGGACCCATAACTCATATTTTTAGTAAGATTTACAAGATTATTATATATGTTGTCTAGGAAGAGTGATGGATCAGTCGATTGGGTGCAATCATGGAAAACAACGCTTTTTTCTCTGCTGGAAGCTATACCGATTACTATGCGTTCATTAATCACTTCCATCTCAATAGATGGGACTTCTGCAACTACACTCATTTTAAATAGGTATTCATTTATTAAATGTATGCCAATATTAATGGGTCTACATTTTTATACCAATTTTGTTGATATCTGCAGAGAAACAGGGGAAGCTTTAGCAAGACCTTTACTCTACAACGAGAGTTGTCCAGATGCTTTACCAATTGTAAAATCCATTGCCCCTTCAAACCATACAGTATGCTCAGGTTCTTCAACCTTATGCAAGCTCCTTTCATGGTGGACCTCAAACCCAAACCATTCCAATAAAGAGTCTGCAGTTCTAATGCATCAAGCCGATTGGCTTTTATGGCTTCTCCATGGTAAGATTGGAGTTTCCGACTACAATAACGCGTTAAAGGTATATATTTCTATTATTTACAATTTTGAATACTTGGTGTAAAAGTTAAATGTTTGACCTTGAAAGCATAAAGTCAATTTTGTTGTATAGGTCGGCTATGATCCTGAACTCGAGTCATATCCACCATGGCTCAAATCTCAGCCGTACTCATGTGTACTACCAACCGTCCAAGCACCAGGAACTGTAATCGATACCCTTAAAGAGGAAATAACAACAAAACTCGGTATTTTTTTTGTTAGTAAAAAATAAAACATATTATATTAAAAAATTGGCAATAACAATATTAGTTTTATTAATTAAATTATTTTATGTTGGCCTGAATTCTTCCACAGGTTTTCCTAAGGATTGTGTTGTGTGCACCGGAACCACCGATAGTATTGCTGCATTTCTTGCAGCCAGAGCTACTCAACCCGGGAAGGCGGTGAACTGCTTTTAAACTTTAGGCTCCATTTGTTTTCTTCTTTTTGTTCGTTGATATCAGTGTCGGTGTCATCATTTATGTCATGTCCTGTCCTGTCACAAAATCATAATAGGGTGTCATAAATTGGAATGGGGCCCGGCCTACTATTGAGAAGTGATTATATAAATATAATTTTTAATTTTATCTGGACTGATTTTGGAAGGTTTGTATATATAATAGGTGACATCACTGGGTTCAACACTTGCGATAAAACTAATGAGCACAACAAGGATTGATGATGCGCGCTTCGGGGTGTACAGTCATCGTCTTGATGACAAGTGGCTGGTCGGAGGTGCCTCAAACACTGGTGGAGCGGTTCTCCGGCAACTTTTCTCAGATGAGCAGCTGAAGGAGTTAAGTAAGCAGATAGACCCGATGGAAGCTTCATCTTTGGACTATTATCCATTACCCACACAAGGCGAGAGGTTTCCTATTGCGGATCCCAAGATGGAACCCAGGTAAACTAAAAAACACAATGTACTTTCACATTTTATCGATTTAACCACTGAAATGTATTTTTTAATTATATTCGATTATTGAGTTGTTATTATTGTTATCATTAAAAAGTAATAGTTCGGTGATCAAATCAATAAAATGGTGAAAGTGTGTTCTCTTTTTATGTATTTTGACCTTTTCCTAAAGTTGATAACCTGGAAAAGTGGCTTAAAAATCACTATTGCAAATAGTTAAGTGGTTAAATCGATGAAACTATATTGTGTTTTTTTTTCTGTATTTTCCCTTTTTGGAAATTGGAGAAAGAAAATTAAAAAAAGAATCTTTTCCCGCGTTACAGGTTAAGTCCTCGCCCAAAAAGTGATGTAGCTTACTTGCATGGCATTTTGGAATCAATAGCACGCATCGAGGTAAAAACCTTTTGTCAAATGTAAATATAATTGTTGATCAACTGTTTCTACAATGATGAGGAGGGCATTTACGTCTTTTCCTGTCCCACTTTTTGGTGAATTCAAAACTTGCAATTTTCCCATTGACATCATTATCGGTCGTATCCTAGTACACGTCAAACACAGACAAAACAGTCATGTTCTATCATGTCATGTCATGTCATGAGTTGTCTTGTGTTTTGCTTAGGCAAAAGGGTATGCATTGTTGAAGGATTTAGGAGCCACCGAAGTTGAACAAGTGTTTACGGCGGGTGGTGGATCCAAAAATGATAAGTGGACACGGATTCGAGAAAGGGTACTTGGTTTGCCCGTGAGTCAAGCACTTCATACAGAAGCAGCTTACGGGGCCGCTCTATTGGCATTGCGGGCAACCCTTTAGCAATAAAGCGATTTTTGCTACATTGGTCCGTCTTTGATTAAAAAAAATCATTGTATCATTTTAACTAGAAATTATATGTGATTCAAGTGATATGCACCTCTTATATTAAAAGTAATTAAGTATGGCATGGTTAATGACTTGTAAGGGTAACGAACTTTGCTCCATGTACACATTTCGTCACTAATTTTTTTTGTCTTATAATTAAACTCTTTTACATTGTTCACAAAATACCATTATAATAGGTTATTATAGGTGAACACATTTAGTCACAATCTTTTTTTGTGTACTTTCACTCACTAATCTTATTTTTTGTATGTATTTAGTCACTATTTTTTTCATACGTTTTACCACCAGTCTTACATAATATAAATATGTATTATTACGCACTAATATGTATTTATACAAAACACATATTACATGTACATAAAATATTTTTTACAAATAAATGTGTTTTCCACGTATAAATATATATTTTAATGTATACATCTGTATTATGGGTCTTTGTTAATGGGTTATTGTCACTATAGCCCAACAATGTTCAGTATATTGGTTTAAATGGTCCATCGTGACTATTTTTTGCATTTGAAGGGCACGAACTTGTGTTTTACCGGTTAACTTGGCACCTTTACCCATTTTTGAATGTTATAGTGCCTTGTCAACTGCCAGTTAGGCAGGTGAGTCAACAATGACTCAGTGGTGAGTTGACTCATCGTTGCCACGTAAGCCAAAACCTAATTGCCACGAAGATTGAACTAATCCATCAGTTTACATCGGGACGTGAGGGCTTACGAATAGTAACAATGGAGTTTATTATTCGTTATTAACGCCATGTACTTCTCCTATGTTCTAATTCCAAAACCAGAATCTTGGAAAGTGTAGGTGAGATTTTCGATGTGGTGGTGGGTGTAAACAGAGAGAAGGGGGTGGCGGAGAAGACAACGGTGGAGCCAACTTCAGGGGCACCACCCTCGATTTCGGTATTCATAGACTTTGTTCTTCTTCCCTTCAAGCATATTGTAACATCCATAAAATCCGAGCCAATTTAAAACTTTTTAAATCATTTAAAACCATTCAGTTATTACAATTTGTTTTCAAAATAGTTTAAACATCAGAGTTCTCAGAAATCATAATCATCAATCGAAGAAGTGTACGGTCACGTCTTCGCCTTCCCGCGACCATCCGTTGAACCTGAAACAATAAACTGAAACTGTAATTCCGAAAGCTTAGTGAGTTACCCCCAAAATACCAACCTCATATAACCATAATCATATCATATCAACAAATACAAAACAGCCATGCATCTCGAGTCTACAGTGTGACTGGTCCGCCCGCACCAGGCCTTCAGTCCACCTGGTCCACTCTCTGAGTCTACAGTATGACTGGACTGCCAGCACCGGGCCTTCAGTCTATCTGGCCCACTCTCCGAGCCTCGGCACGTCTAGACCGCCCTCTCGGGGCCTTCAGCCTATCCGGACCGCTTGTTGGGCCTTCGGCCTGACTATGTGCCCTCCTGGGCCTGCAGTCTATCCGGTCCGGCCGGGGTATGTTGGCCTACAGCACGAAGCAGGACCCGCCTCAACCCAACCCCCATACTAATCAAACAATCATGTACACATAAATATCATACGATAGCATGTATATAACATATATCATACCGATCGAACAGATCACTAACACAACAACCATCCTATAACCAGGATACCGACCTAACCGATCACTAGCATAACATCATCCTATATACCAGGATACCGACCTAAACCAGGCCACTAACATAATATCATCCTAACTACCAGGATGCAGATCTAGCAGATCAATAAACATATCCAGCAAATTCCCGGATACAAATCCGATAAGGGCCGGCCTTGGTGCCTTAGACCCTGTTGATATAGTGAGGATAACTCACCTCGTAACTGTCGACTCGAAAGATAAGCACAAACCCTCATATCACCGCCACAAACTCCACCACCTATATTCACCACAGAACCATATTCGTAAGTTTCCAATTTTCTCAAAATGCCCCCAGAAGTCAACTAGTCAACCCCTGGTCAAATTCAAAGTCAATGGTCAATGTCAACAGTCCATGTTGACCGGACTCGTCGAGTACAACCGGACACTCGTCGAGTTCCTTGCATAACTCGCCGAGTCACTTGAGTGACTCGTCGAGTTCCTAATGTTTGCGGCCGTAAACTCCTTGGCCAGCTCGTCGAGTTTCCCTTGCAACTCGCCAAGTTCATGCGTGCCAAAAGCCGGGAAAACCCTAACTGACTCGCCGAGTCACCCTGCTGACTCGCCGAGTCCACGACAATCTTCATCGGACTCGCCGAGTTAACCATCCAACTCGTCGAGTCCCTTCAGTCCATATCCAAACAGATGCTTATTAAGCCATCTTAAGGTTCCATATTGCAGATGCAGCTTCCCAAGGCATGTTTATCACGTAAAGTTGCAAACTTTACGTGCATGCAAGGCTCTAAAGTCTTATAATGACAAAACCAAGCTTGCAATGGAGTTTTACACATAAGGAGGGGTTCATACTTGCCAAAGCTGAGAGCTTTATGAACTTAGAGACCAAAGAGAGTTCAGATCTGAAGTTACAACTTCAGATCTGAGCTCATACCCAAGAGTAGCTTCATAATATGCTAGAAAAGCCCTAATATTTAACCAAATGAGATTTAGAACGAAATGATGTCAAGGTAACGACTTGATACCTTCCAAAAGATGCCAACTGAGGTAGATATCAGATCCCCCACACGTTCCTTGCTTCTAGCCACTTGCTCTCTAAGCTCATCTTACAAAGAATCCTCTTCCAAAGCTTAAAATACACAAATGGAGCACACTCACACGAATTAGGGTTTATGGACTATCAAGAGGTTGTAAGGGGAGGCTGAGGAGGCCAATGATCCTTTAAATAGAGTGCAAAACCCCGGAAATTAGGGTTTCATCCTCCAGCTCCTACTCGTCGAGTCCCTTCTTGGACTCGACGAGTAGGTCACTTAAACACGTGGACCAACCTGTTGCTACTCGACGAGTCAGGCAACCAACTCGTCGAGTAGACCTTGAAATCATGAGAATTTATAACCATAAATTGATACTCTAGAATCGGGGCGTTACACATATTACTTGCAGATTGATTAAGTAAAGGAAGTTTGTATAATGCGATTGATGGTTGAAGAAATGCCATGGCTCGATCTTCGAGCTCGATATCACCATGGATTTGAGCAGAATTCATCAATGATTCCCATATTTCAAATGTAGGTTCAAAAGGATTGTTTTCTATGAACTCAAAAGCTTCGTTTAGATGCCCATATTTCCACAAAACATCAATAACCCCTAAATAATGATCAATTTATGGATCTAGATTGTAGTCGTTATTCATTGATTTGAAGTGTTTGAAGCATTCTTTAATTGAATTAACACTGGCACATGCTGAAAAAAGTAATCGGAAAGTCTCATTGTTTGGAGTTAACCCCAACTCTTTCATCTGGTCGTATAACAACAAACCTGCATCCGGTTCCCCGTTATCTGTGTAGTCCTTTATCATCGAATGTCATAAGCTTAAGTCGTCTTGTTCACGTATTCTGTCGAACACCCTGCGTGCATCCCTCACTGGCACATGCTGAACCTTCTTCCCTAGTTCAAGATCGTCACACAAATCCAAAACAAGCTCGAAAACATCGGATCATGCCTGCAGGAACACCTGGAGACATTAACTCAATCGTTTCTTTAATCGCCCTTTTTTTGCATAACACCATTAAATCCACATCCGGTGGCGGAGATGGGTTAGTGAGTTTTCTTGTTTTGGGAAGAGTTGGTGGTTTTGTGGATGTGTTGAGTCGGCGATTGGTGTTCGATTCTACCGGAGTCAACATCAGGGCCACCACCGGAGTCGAAGAAGACAACGGTGGAGTCGGAGAAGACAGCATCGGAGCGGGTGAAGATGAAAGACGGTAAGGGATTTGATCGGATTCGGGTTCTACAGAAAGCATTACATTAGGTGTTATACGTGGCAATTGAGTTGACATCTAAACCTGCTGATTAGGATGAGTGTCACCGGGTGACCCATTCAAATGTTCCAAAAGGACCTTTTAAAACCTAAAAATACAAGTCTGTGCCCTTCAAATGCAAATAATAGTCACGATGGATCATTTAAACCAATATACTAAAGTTTGTTGCTACAATGACAATAACCTTTTGTTAATTTTGCACAATCTTACCAAGTAACTCTATTGTCTTTTTCACGTTTTAGAATGTATTATGGAGTCTTAACGGTCATATTTCTAGTATAATGATTGAAAATTTCAATGCCATAAAGGTTGAGTTAAAACAATATTAACTCTATGTAACTTCGAAATATATGACTAAGTACGATAATTATTTAATAGTGAGATACAATTTTTGTAGAACGACAACACATACTTCTTACCTTACTCTCAAAATAATCATTTAGTCTCAAACAAGACATGTAAAGTGTGTGAGTTAGTCATGCTAAAAAAAACTTGTGTCTGACAATAACCTTACTCGTTTTATTTTTGTGTTGTGGTATGTCAACCCATTTATTTTTGTGTCGAGCTTGTGTTGAGTTAACGTGTTTAGGGACTTATGGTTTAGACCTTGCAAATGTGTTGGTGGCGTGCCCGGTTGAAACACTAAACGGTTTAAAAAAGTAAGAGTTGGAAGTCGGAGGGGCGAAATTCACAGTAAAGAGGGCAAAGTGGAAGGAGCATGAGTTGGGGAGACGGAGGGGCAAGGTCGTTAGGAAAATGGAGTGGCTAAGGGAGACTATAGAATATTGAAGGGAAATGAAAAGGTAAAAATTGAAAATGATGTTTTGACCTATGCAACTAAATTACTTCCTCGTTTCAACATGGCCCAACCCAAAGTTCCTCTTTTACATGTGGTTTTGGTTTGATCTAATTTACCGGAAGAATAAAAAAGCGCATATAAATCAACGGGTGTTTTTCGAGTTGAATTTTTTGACAATAATTTTACCTGTTAAATTTTCAGGTCGTGTCATGTTAACTCGTTTAATTAAATAAATTGAAATCTCTTACTCAAACCCATTTATTTACTTCATTGCCAAACTCGTTTAGGATTAACATACAATGTCAGCTTTTGCCAGCATTAGAAGTGACATATACTTAACCCTGCAAAAGTTCAAAACTACTCTTTCAAAAAGGTCCG